CTCTGGTAGAATTTGGCTGTGAATCTGTCTGGTCCTGGACTTTTTTTGGTTGGTAGGCTATTAATTATTGCCTCAATTTCAGAGCCTGTTATTAGTCTATTCAGGGATTCAACTTCTTCCTGGTTTAGTCTTGGGAGGGTGTGTGTGTGTCCAGGAATTTATCCATTTCTTCTAGATTTCCTAGTTTATTTGCATAGAGGTGTTTTAGTATTCTCTGATGGTACTTTGTATTTCTGTGGGATCGGTGGTGATATCCCCTTTATCATTTTTTACTGCGTCTATTTGATTCTTCTCTCTTTTCTTCTTTCTTAGTCTTGCTAACGGTCTATCAATTTTGTTGATCTTTTAAAAAAAATCAGCTCTGGATTCGTTGATTTTTTTGAAGGGTTTTTTGTATCTCTATCTCTTTCAGTTCTGCTCTGATCTTAGTTATTTCTTGCCTTCTGCTAGCTTTGAAATGTGTTTGCTCTTGCTTCTCTAGTTTTTTTAATTGTGATGTTAGGGTGTCAATTTTAGATCTTTCCTGCTTTCTCTTGTGGGCATTTAGTGCTGTAAATTTCCCTCTACACACTGCTTTAAATGTGTCCCAGAGATTCTGGTATGTTGTGTCTTTGTTCTCATTGGTTTCAAAGAACATCTTTATTTCTGCCTTCATTTCATTACGTACTCAGTAGTCATTCAGGAGCAGGTTGTTCAGTTTCCATGTAATTGAGCAGTTTTGAGTGAGTTTCTTTTCTTTTTTTTTTTTTTTTAATCCAAAATGTGTTTATTGAGATGGTTTCCCACTCATCTTGATTCAGAGTGCTTTTAGTGCTGCTTCTTCCTAAAGGAACATCCTTCTGTAAGCCTTGCTTTTCCTCCTGTAGGCTGGCAGAGGACAGCGGAGCAGCCAACACACAAAACTACCATTTGTGCATGGCTAAAGACCGTGGTGATTTTATAGCATCCTGGGCATTTCACATCCATGAAGTAGGAATTGGGGCTCTGCACCAGGCATTTCTTCTCGTGTTTCCTCTTCTCTTCTGGGGAGGGATGAAGGAGATCCTTTGCGAGAGGCATGTTCTCGTGTAGGTAGGTCGTCACTGCCGGAAAGGCAAGTGAGTTTCTTAATCCTGAGTTCCAGTTTGATTGCACTGTGGTCTGAGAGACAGTTTGTTATAATTTCTGTTCTTTTACATTTGCTGAGGAGTGCTTTACTTCCAACTATGTGGTCAATTTTGGAATAAGTGCAATGTGGTGCTGAGAAGAATGTGTATTCTGTTGATTTAGGGTGGCGAGTTCTGTAGATGTCTATTAGGTCCACTTGGTGCAGAGCTGATTTTAATTCCTGGACATCGTTTTTAACTTTCTGTCTTGTTTATCCGTCTGATGTTGACAGTGGGGTGTTAAAGTCTCCCATTATTGTGTGGGGGTCTAAGTCTCTTTGTAGGTCTCTTAAGGACTTTCTTTATGAATCTGGGTGCTCCTGTATTGGTTGCATATATATTTAGTATAGTTAGCTCTTCTTGTTGAATTGATCCCTTTACCATTATGTAATGGCCTTCTTCATTTGTTTTCATCTTTGTTGGTTTAAAGTCTGTTTTATCAGAGATGAGAATTGCATCCCCTGCTTTTTTTTTTGTTTTCCATTTGCTTGGTACATCTCCGTCCCTTTATTTTGAGCGTATGTGTGTCTCTGCACGTGAGATGGGTCTCCTGAATACAGCAAACTGATGGGTCTTGACTCTTTATCCAATTTGCCAGTCTGTGTCTTTTAATTGGAGCGTTTAGCCCGTTTACATTTAAGGTTAATATTGTTATGTGTGAATTTGATCCTTTCATTATGATGTTAGCTGGTTATTTTGCTCAGTAGTTGATGCAGTTTCTTCTTAGCATCGATGGTCTTTACAATTTGGCATGTTTTTGCAGTGGCTGGTACCGGTTATTCCTTTCTGTGTTTAATGCTGCCTTCAGGAGCTCTTGTACAGCAGGCCTGGTGGTGACAGAATCTCTCAGCATTTGTTTGTCTGTAAAAGATTTTATTTCTCCTTCACTTATGAAACTTAGTTTGGCTGAATATGAATTTCTGGGTTGAAAATTGTTTTCTTTAAGAAATATTGGCCCCCATTCTCTCTGGCTTGTAGAGTTTCTGCCAGGAGATCCGCTGTTAGTCTGATGGGCTTCCCTTTGTGGGTAACCCGACCTTTCTCTCTGGCTGCCCTTAACATTTTTTCCTTCGTTTCAACTTTGGTGAATCTGACAATTATTTGTCTTGGAGTTGCTCTTCTCAAGGAGTATCTTTGTGGTGTTTCTCTGTATTTCCTGAATTTGAATATTGGTCTGCCTTGCTAGGTTGGGGAAGTTCTCCTGGATAATATCCTGAGGAGTGTTTTCCAGCTTGGTTCCATTCTCCCCCATCACTTTCAGGTATACCAATCAGACATAGATTTGGTATTTTCACATAGTCCCATATTTCTTGGAGGTTTTGTTCATTTCTTTTCGCTCTTTTTACTCTTAAGCTTCTCTTCTTGCTTCATTTCATTCATTTGATCTTCAGTCACTGATACCCTTTCTTCCACTTGATCGAATTTGGCTACTGAGCCAAATTCAAATGACGCTGTGCATGCGTCACGTAGTTCTGGTGCCATGGTTTTCAGCTCCATCAGGTCAGTTAAGGTCTTCTCTGCTCTGTTTATTCTAGTTAGCCATTTGTCTAATCTTTTTTCAAGGTTTTTAGCTTCTTTGTGATGGGTTTGAACGTCCTTCTTTAGCTCAGAGAAGTTTGTTATTACTGATTGTCTGAAGCTTTCTTCTCTCAGCTCGTCAAAATCATTCTCCTACCAGCTTTGTTCTGTTGCTAGTGAGGAGCTGCGTTCCTTTGGAGGGGGAGAGGCGCTCTGATTTTTAGAATTTTCAGCTTTTCTGCTCTGTTTTTTCCCCATCTTTGTGGTTTTATCTACCTTTGGTCTTTGATGATGGTGACGTACAGAAGGGGTTTTGTGTGGATGTCCTTTCTGTTTGTTAGTTTCCCTTCTAACAGTCAGGACCCTCAGCTGCAGGTGTGTTGGAGTTTGCTGGAGGTCCACCCCAGACCCTGTTTGTCTGGGTATCACCAGCGGAGGCTGCAGAACAGCAAATATTGCAGAACGGCAAATGTGGCTGCCTGATCCTTCCTCTGAAACTTCGTCTCAGAGGGGCATCCGGCTGTATGAGGTGTCAGTTGGCCCCTACTGGGAGGTGCCTGCCAGTTAGGCTACTTGGCGGTCAGGGACCCACTTGAGGCAGTCTGTCCATTCTCAGATCTCAAACTCCACGCTGGGAGAACCACTACTCTCTTCAAAGCTGTCAGACAGGGACGTTTAAGTCTGCAGAAGTTTCTGCTGCCTTTTGTTCAGCTGTGCCCTGCCCCCAGAGGTAGAGTCTACAGAAGCAGTCAGGCCTCCTTGAGCTGTGGTGGGCTCCACCCAGTTCGAGGTTCCTGGCTGCTTTGTTTACCTACTCAAGCCTCAGCAATGGTGGGTGCCCCTCCCCCAGCCTCGCTGCCGCCTTGCAGTTCGATCTCAGACTGTTGTGCTGGCAGTGAATGAGGCTTCATGGGCATGGGACCCTCTGAGCCAGGCACGAGATATAATCTCCTGGTGTGCTGTTTGCTGAGACCATTGGAAAAGCACAGTATTAGGGTGGGAGTGTCCTGATATTCCAGGTACTGTCTGTCACGGCTTCCCTTGGCTAGGAAAGGGAATCCCCCGACCCCTTATGCTTCCGGAGTGAAGCGATGCCCTGCTCTGCTTCAGCTCACACTCCGTGGCTGCACCCACTGTCCAACAAGCCCCAGTGAGATGAACCCAGTACCTCAGTTGGAAATGCAGAAATCACCCGTCTTCTGCATCGCTCACACTAGGAGCTGTAGACTGGAGCTGTTCCTGTTTGGCCATCTTGGAACCTGTCGCTACACACTTTCAAACAACCAGATCTTGTGAGAACTCACTATCACGAGAACAGCAACGGGAAAATCTGTCTCCATGATCAAATCACCTCCCACCAGGTCCCTCCCCCAACATTGGGGATTACAATTCAACAAGAGATTGGGGTGGGGACACAGAGCCAAACCATATCACATATACTCTAAAGTAAAGGATAAATTGGCTTGTCCAGAAATACTAAAGAGAAGTTTAATTACATTTTCTAATTTGATGAAAGTTAATTGCTTTCTTGAGTTCATTTTGGCTATATTTGTTGAACATATTTTCTTCAGCTTTAAGAAGAGAATAGAAAATTTACAAGGACCTGAAAGCTTCTAAGACAATATATATATCTGTTATAGATGAGATTTTTCCCATTTGGGGGAGTGTCCTGGTGTGTGTTGATTTCAGGGAAAGGAACCGTGTATATTAAAATTTACTATGTATTCAACAGCCACAAACTTAATTGGTTTAGATAATATCTGTTTTATCTCTACTTTTTTTGCATAACCATGGTAGTGCTCACCTGACCGAGGGGTTAGACGCTAATTGGTTACCCTAATTAGTTATTATCCTAAAAATAAAATAAGATAGTGTCTTTACAGCCGGGCACAGTGGCTCACGACTGTAATCCCAGCACTTTTGGGAGGCTGAGGCGGGTGAATCACGAGGTCAGGAGATCAAGAGATCAAGACCATCCTGGCTAACACAGTGGAAACCCTGTCTCTACTGAAAGTACAAAAAAATTGGCTGATGGTGGTGGCGGGCGCCTGTCGTCCCAGCTACTTGGGAGGCTGAGGCAGGAGAATGGTGTGAACCCAGGAGGCAGAGCTTGCGACAGAGCGAGATTCCATCTATTTAAAAAAAAAAAAAAAAAAAGATAATTTCTTTACCTCTAGTCCCTTTTTTCATCCACATATTGATAAGCAGAGATTTATGAAGAATACCAGTGTTTAGTGCCCTTTACTATTGAGTTTATAGGTAATGTTCCATTTTCTCCAAAGAACCTGAATTACATTCTCTCTTACTTAGAGAAATGGAAACTTTTCCCAACTTTTTATCTGGTGAAAATTAGGCTAAAACTGTTTATTTCTGCATATTTCTGACCTTACCATTGCTTAATGGAAAAGAATTTCACAGCTTTTTGGTTTTTTTCTTTTTGTGAATGATTTTCTCTGATCTTTCTCTTACAGTAAGAAGAGTAGAAGTGTGTCCCCAGAGTGTTTTTAAGCAGGTTAGGGTTTATCATAATTGAAAGGAATTGGTATCTTAGCTCTTTAGAATTTCTACATTGCCACTTTTTTCTAGGGAAAGCTCAACAGCCTAAAGTAATATTTATTCAGTTCGTTTGGTGGTTGAAATAAAATATGTGTGTGTGTGTGTGTGTGTATGTGTGTGTGTATGTGTATGAAAAGTGTGCAGGAAGACACAGCTTTTTGAATGACCAGTGCCATCACACACAGCTCAGTAAAGACCAGCACATTGTGTTAAGATTTAAGGAATCTACAAATTGCCTTGATAGATCAGTCCTGTGCTCATTAGAACAGTTCAGTACTCTTGCCAGTTCATAGGCCCATTATCTGGCCAATTATAGGCCAAATGGTCACTTAGTTTGAGTATATGTAGTAGTCTAGTGTCTCACTTCACTTGCGTCGCATGCCCCCAAATACGTATGTTGTTTTGTTTTGTTTTGTTTTGTTTTGTTTTGTTTTTGAGACCAAGTCTCACTCTGTTGCTCAGGCTGGAGTGCAGTGGCATGATCTTGGCTCACTGCAACCTCTACCTTCAGGGTTCAAGCAATTCTTGTGCCTCAGCCTCCCGAGTAGTTGGGACTACAGGCGTGTGCCACCACACTCAGCTAATTTTTTTGTATTTTTAGTAGAGACAGTGTTTCATGGTGTTGCCCTGACCGGTCTCAAACTCCTGGGCTCAAGCAGTCCACCTGCCTCAGCCTCTGAAGTGCTAGAATTATAAGGGTGAGCCACTATGCCCGGCCTAGTAATTCTTAACAGAATGGAAGCTTTTCCAAATATCTGTAACAAATGTCTTTAATCTAGGGTCCTTTGGGTACCATGATGAGCCTTTAGAGGGACCAAGAACCTACTAAAATTACATGAAGACTTTTGTGTTCAACTGTGTGTGTGTGCGCGCTTAAGGATGGTCCCATAGCTTTCATCAGATGCTTAGAGATCCAAGATCTGGCAGAGTCCTAACTGTTTATAGAGTCATGGCCCAAACTGAAGATCCACATATACTTCATCCACTTTAATACCAAATTTATTGCGACCCTTCAATCAGTCTTACATACTTTTACATAGAACTCAGTCTACTTATTTTTGTTCTATTTAAGTGTTCTAACCTGTCATTGCTATTAAATAGTGGAATTTGAATGTTTTTGTTTTTGAGAGAAATTTGTAGGGGGCAGATTCTGTTTTCTTCAGTTTTTTCTTTTAACTTAGTAAGGCCTTGGCATAATGAATCGCAATAGATGTAACAATTACTTAACCGTGAAAGCATGCAGTGGGGTCAAGTTCTCCAGCACATACGCAGACTTTGAAATTTAAGCCAAAAAGACAGTTTTGGTAATTTGACTACTCCAGTTACATGTTTTAACTCCTTGAGGTTGTATGGTTTATTTCACATTGGCATGGTTTTGCAACATTCTGCAAATTATGTTTGGTTTATGATAGTATCCAAACACATAAAAATAGTGTAAATGTTTTAACATTTTTTGCTCAGTTAATGTGAATTTGGCAGGAAATACTGCGATAATTTAGGACTGCTCCGTTTTCAGTCAAGATCTGAAATAAAATGTTCAATTCCTAAATGGAAATTTAAGATGTTTGCTTTAAAGCTAGGAGTAATATTTTTTTTAATTACATGAACTACTCAGCTAAGATCATTACATATGAAATAGAAGTATTTTCTTCACATTTTTTTTTATGTGCAGTAAGATTATACTGAAGAAACCCATTTAAAAGTTTCATTCTGGGAGCTACAGTTTATATGCAGGTACTATAAAATATTTAAGAATTTGGGAAATAATATAACATATTTAAATACATTTAGCAGTATCTGTTTTGTTGGTGAGTCTTAAAACTTAATAAATTGCTGTTAGTATTGTTTAGTAAATAGTGAAAGAAAGGGATGTTGTTGCTTTTTAAATTTTTAGAGGACCTGTATGGTTTTAACCTGGGGGTGTGGGGTAGTTTGTTTTGCATTAATTCATTTTCTCCCTTAATATTCTTTCTGCAGGATAACTTCAAACTAATGTGTACTAATGCCATGATTTACAATAAACCAGAGACCATTTATTATAAAGCTGCAAAGAAGCTGTTGCACTCAGGGATGAAAATTCTTAGCCAGGTAAGGGAAACTCTTTGTCATAAATAATAGTTATTAAAATCTGTCCCTGTTTGTTGGCCATAGTAATACAGATACAATACAGTATTTATTTTATTAGCAGTTTATATTAAAGTAGAAAATACTAAATGAAAAAAATTTTAATAAAGAGAAGAAAAGACAGGAAAATTCTTACTTGGAATCAGTACAAATAAATATTGGCATTCACTTGTAATTATCTCTTTAGAGATAAAACATCAGCTTGAAACATCAACCTGAATTCCAGGATAAGACTGGCTGAATTGTGAGAACTCTGAAGAGGAAAGCTCTCTGTTTGCATTTGTAGGGGTGGAATCTAATGTTGGTCAGTCCTGTCAGAAGCACAGAATTTCTAGTAAGAAAATACAGTCATGCACTGTGTAATACTGTGTATACAGACTGCATATACAATGGTGGTTCCATAAGATTGTAATGCTGTATTTTTACTGTACTTTTGCTATATTTAAATACACAAATACTTCGCATTGTGTTACAGCTGTCTACAGTATTCAGTATGGTAGCATGCTGTACAGGTTCCTAGCCTATGAGCAATAGGCTATATCATTTAGCCGGTTGTCTGGTAGGCTATACCATCTAGGTTTGTGTAAGTGTACTCATTGATGGTCACACAACAAAATTGCCTAACAGTCCATTTCTCAGAATGTATCCCTTCATTAAGCTACATGTGACTATATACAAATGAGAAAAAGTTCAAAACTGTCTCAAAACCACCTCTCCACAAGAGCAGACTCTTCCTTAAAGGATAAGAATTAATGCATAGTAAGACATTTGAGGTCAGAGAAGTGTGTGTGTAGGCACAGACACATCATCATCAAACTGTAGGAAAGAGCTTAAACATGAGATCTGTACACAGTGGCAAAAATTACGAGTATCACCAGGAAGACAGTTGATAAAAGGCTTTGAAGGGTAAACTGAGATGATCACTGTGCATCCGCTAGAGAAAATAACTCACAAGATAAGCCATATCTTTTGAGGTTTTTCTCACCACTCTGAGTGGGAGAAACCTATTAGTAAGAGACATCTTTAGGGAACAAATCAAGGGTGATCCTGGCACCATACCGTGGCAGGCAGGCAGAAGAGAGTTTTAATTTTAGCTGTCTTCCACTAACTTGTGGACCTTGGGCAAGACATTAACTACCCTGGGACTCAGTGTTCTCATCCCTGAAGAAGGGTTTAGTCTGTGATCTCCAAGATGATTTCTAGCATTACTGTTCTGATTCTAGATAAGAGGTAGAGTAGAGAGGATACTATGAAAAAGAACCACAAGGTAGGACAGGGATTTTGCAAAGAAGAAATGAGTGGGTATGAGACACTGGTAGAAGGAGAAAGGAATCAGAGTCGAGAGCTTGAGCTCACATTCAGGCGAGTTAAAGGATGATAAAAATAAGTCGTGCATCTGCATATGGTTTTCCGATTTTTATGGTGATTCATTTTTCTGTATTATAGTTTTACATTTAAAGAAATGCCTTGGTGTGCAGATGTCTGAGTGTCTGTGTGCTTGGCTGAGAGATTCTTGGATTTGCTTAACTAGAGAAAGAAAAACATGTTTGGATTGTTGATTATTCTTGCGCTCCTAATATTTAGACAACATCAGTTCCCACCCTTTCCTAAAGACTTGGGAAACTAATGGAAACCAGTTACCCATCTTTGACAACATTTGCAGAGGAAAGAGGAATATGAAATGTTTACCCATTCTTTGCAGGAAGACTCAGAATCTAGAACCACGCCGTGTTCCAGGTTTAAAGACCTGGAAATGCTTCTTGTTACTGCATTTGAAGTAAAAATGCATTTAACAGATGCAGCCTTTAGTCACTCCAAAATATGTACATTGAATTGGGTGGTTGGAGCCTAATTTTTAATGACCTTTGATTTACCGCTTCCTTAAGTAATGTAGTTAATACAACAAGCAAAAGATTCCATTATCTCTTGAATTTTACTGGCGTGTGGAATGGTTGAAAGCACAGAAAATAAAATTTTCTTCTCCACTTTCCCTTCCCTCTCTCCCTCTTTCTTTCTCTCTCTGTTGTCTTCCTTTTTTTCAGAGCTTTTGCTGTTGAGGAGCCCCACCCATCCTGTGTTATTAGCTTCCTGTTGACTGTTCTCTCCACCCTACATGGGAGGGGTCGTCACAACAGTGATTTTTTTTAAACGTTTAAATTTAGACGTTTTGAGTTAACTCTTCTAATAGTTTGTGCTCCAAGAGAGCCCAGCACACCCTTCCATGAATGGTGTCTTTTCAAAGATAACTGTTTTTGAATGTTCGTTAAAAAGACTGCAGAGTAGTCACTCATTTTTTCAGTTATACTCAAATAGCAACTATTAGTAGACGTGTTATTTTTATAAAGAATGAACAGATGAGGACAGGCGCAGTAGCTCACACCTGTAATCCCAACACTGGGAGGCTGAGGCGGGCGGATCACCTGAGGTCAGGAGTTTGAGACCAGCCTGACCAACATGGAGAAATCCCGTCTCTACTAAAAATACAAAATTTGCTGGACGTGGTGATGCATGCCTGTAATCCCAGCTGCTCGGGTGGCTGAGGCAGGAAGGTTGAACCCCGAAGGCGGAGGTTGTGGTGAGCCAAGATCATGCCATTTCCAGCCTGGGCAACAAGAGCAAAACTGGGTCTCAAAAAAAAAGAAAGAATGAACAGATGAAGAGTAACTTTTTATCTCCTAAATAAATACTTAAGTAAAATGCTACATTGTAGTACAAGCAAAGTAGTACAAACAATACTATTTGTAACATGGTGGTTTTGAAATCAGACCAATCAAGGTTCAAGTCCTAGCTCAACCCTTTGGAAGCTGTGTGACCTTAGCCGAGGTAACCTTTCTCAGCCTTTTTTCTGTCCTGTAAAGTGGGGATAATAATAGTACTTACCTCATGGAATTGTGTCTGGTACATGAGTAAGCACTAAGTAAATGTTAGCTATATTATTAGCAAAGAACCAGCCCTGTTAGCCATTTAATATTGTAAAATTGAAGATCAGTAATATGCTGACTTGGAGGCATTTTAATTACCAAAAAAAGAAAAAAACATTGCCTTCAAAGGAAAATTAAACTTCACTCTTTCCTGGGACTTGTTTCAAGGTTTAGAAACTTCCTCTAATTGAATTTATTTTGTGCATGTCATTTTTTTTTAAATCCCAAAGCGTTCTTAATGTAAGTTCTGCTTTATAAAATTCTAGAGTGGAAATAAAATTATTACCGAGAACTTAACAGAAATAATTAAACTAATATTTTTAATGTAGCAAAATAAAACGTGTTTTTAAAAATCAAATAAGATTGCTTTTTGTTGTTGTTTTTTGTGTTTTTTGTTTTTTTTGAGACAGTCTCACTGTGTCACCCAGGCTGGAATGCAGTGGCGCAATCTCGGCTCACTGCAACCTCTGCCTCCCGGGTTCAAGCAATTCTAATGGATTTGCTTTTTAAACGATACAATTGATTTTGTCAAGGATTCAGAGAAACTGTCAAACACTAATGTAAATTAGTATGTAAATTAGTATACCTTTTCTGGAAGGCAGTAATTATCAAAAGCCTCAAAAATACTAATTCCCTTTGACTTTGTTTCCTTTCTAAGAGTTTGTCCTAAAGAGATAGTTGTTCCTAGAGAGATTTATTTATAATGATGTTTATGGTACTTTTATTTATAATAGTAGAAACATGGAAATCTACATGTTCAATCATAGGCCATTAGTTAAATCATGATGTAGATGTGGGATTAAATAGTTATTAAAATATTTTAAATATCTATTGATATGGAGAGGAAATGCTTATAATTTATTAACCAAAAAAATGCTTTTTACTAAATATTCAGTATAATTCCAATTTGCTAAGATATGTAATGGTTGGAAAAGTACTGGAATGATAAACTTGTTAATGCTGTTCTTCTCTGGATGATACATTACGAAGATTTTTATTTTCTCCTCTACCCATATTTTTATTTGTCCACAATAAAATATATCGCTTTAATGGTTTTAAGATTAATTTAAAAGTCCAGTAAAAAACAGCAAGAACTGTGTTCGTGAGGATCTCACCATCTGCACTACTAATAGAGCATGGTGTGATGAGGAAAGGCCCGACATGAGTGACAGCAAGCCTAGTCTTAGTTGCTGGTTTAGTGACCTTAGTTGAGTCATTTGTTGCTTCTCGGCCACGTTATTCTTGTTTGAATGGCCTCTGGTTCTTTCTAGTTCTTAGTTTCTGTTACTCCACAGAAGTCTTCCCTGTTGTTGCTGTGCAACCCTAAGGAGGTTGCACTCTCTATTTTACCCAGTGATAACTCTCAGAGTAACAGGCAAGGTAGTCATTAGAAACAAATATGCCTTCTTAAAATTTACGCAGAAACCCCAAGCCCTTAACTACAGTGAAAATTTCACAGCGCATCATTGCAGCGGAAAATTAAGCACATGTTTCACAGAATAGAAGCAAGACTTCTTTCGTTAGTGAAACCATTTTGCACTCTGAGGAAGGAACTATGCCACCAGCCTGTCTTCTCCTCAAGGCTTGTTGTTTTCACACAGAGTGAAATGCCAGCATCATCAGTGAGCACCCCGGGCTACCAGAATAGAGAGGAACTTCCCATGCTCACATGCCCTAGGCTTTGATACACCTAACAGTTCTTAACTGTCAAAAGATAAGCCAGTCTGTTAAACACAAAATGTTAACACACCATTAAACTAAATTTTACTCTTCCAATTCAGTACGTCAAAGAATACTTCATCTTAATTCATACTTTCTCCTTTGTTAACTTTCTGATAGGGCAATAAAGTTGTAAAGCTTTCTATGAAGTTGGAAATTAAATTTTAAGAATTGAAGGTATAGGCATTATCATGGTTTCCAAATACAATACTCTCTTGGTATATGATTACATTTCATTGTTTTTCTTCCCTGGTTAATGACAGGATAAGTACAAACTCCTGTGGGAAAAAATGCTTTACTTTAAAAGTTAATGACAAACATATAATAAGATTATTTTTGAATATGTTTAGGAAAGAATTCAGAGCCTGAAGCAGAGCATAGACTTCATGGCTGACTTGCAGAAAACTCGAAAGCAGAAAGATAGAACAGACACCTCACAGAGTGGGGAGGACGGAGGCTGCTGGCCAAGAGAGAGAGAGGACTCTGGAGATGCCGAAGCACACGCCTTCAAGAGTCCCAGCAAAGAAAACAAAAAGTAAAAGATCTTTGGGATGTTAAGGTCAAACTGTCTTCTTCAAGCTAGTAACGGGGAGAAATACTGATTCAGGGCCTGACTTGGGAAGACCAAGTGCTAGTGTGTCCGTAGTGGTGGTGTTTGGGCATGAAAGTCCATTTTGATGGTGTAATACCCCTCTTCTCATGTGAAGCACTATATGGGATTGTCCAAACAGTTCAGAAAGTAGTTCTAATGTATTTTCTTACTGAAGTAGTTTTAAAACCTATAAAGTAACTTTTGGGACTCATATGGTCAGTGAGTTTATTTAAATAGAACTCTTTGTTTAAAAAAAAAAAAAATGCATGGTCATTACCTCCTTCCAAAAAGCAGCAAGGAGCTCAGTGGGAGCACAGTCACTGCTGTGTCTTAAGCAGATGAGCTGTCACTGCAGCGTGCCCATGTTTTCCACCCAACATCAGCTGGTGGGAGCAACGATGAACCACTGTTCCACCCAGGCAGCCACCTGTGAAGCTGGCAGCAGCCGCGTCTGCTCACTCACACCACTGGGAGCCAGCCCTGACTGCTCAGCACCTCACTGCCAACTTTGAGGAGGGTAGTAGTTAGCATTTTGGGATTTTTGCTGTCATAATGCAAAGACAGTAGTAAACTAGTGACAAGTTTTTCTTTGTTCTAAGATTTACACACTTCAGTGCTTGTTTTAAATTTAAATTTTAAAAATCAAACTTTAAAAAAACAATGGTATATTCTTCTCCCTTACAAAGTACTGTTTGAGGTAGAACTAATTTTTTTGTAAGTTCCCAGAAAAACGTTTAACACAAGTAACACTGAACAGAAAAAGGTAGGGAAATAGCATGTTAGGTGTGCCTTACTGTTTCTGTTCTTTAATTAGAGACCCTTAACCAGGTCATCAAGGAAATATGTTTCAATGAGTGACTGTAGTCCAAATGTCTCGAGACCACTTTAGTTGTATTCATATTTAGAATTCATTTGAATGTTTTCATCGTATCTTTGTTTTTTTTTACTTAGTATTAATGTGTGTTTTCAGGAAAGACAAAGATATGCTTGAAGATAAGTTTAAAAGCAATAATTTAGAGAGAGAGCAGGAGCAGCTTGACCGCATCGTGAAGGAATCTGGAGGAAAGCTGACCAGGCGGCTTGTGAACAGTCAGGTGATTGAGCTTTGCCTTTCTTTTCTCTACCTACTGATTTGTAGAAACTTGTAGTTTTTAAGTTGCTTGCATATTTTTTAATCCATGTCTGCCATAGAGCTCTTCATCAGTATAATACTTAGCAGGAAAAAAATTAATAACAGACGATTCCCTACAGTGAGTTTATCAGGATGTTAAATGCGTTTTCAACTCATGATATTTTCAACTTACAATGGGTTTATTGGATGTAACTCCATTGTAAGTTGAGGACCATCTATGTTCATTTATAAAGTACATGATTAATCTTACCCACTTTCACTGGATTTTTTAAAAAGGAAGTTATAATATGTTCTAAAATGGGAACATGAACTACATAATTTAAGTTTACAAGAAAACATTCGTATTTACAAGAAATCATATTGTTTAGCACATTGGTTTTATTTATTTAATTTTAGATTCAAGGGGTACATACACAATTTTGTTACGTGGGTATATTGCATGATGTTGATATTTGAGCTTATCTTGAACCCATCACCCAAATAGTGAACATAGTACCCAGTAGGAAGTTTTTGAACCCTTGCCCCCTTCCCTCCCTGCCCCCTTTTAGCATTTCCAGTGTCTGTTCTTCCCATTTTTGTGTCCATGTGCACCAGTGTTTAGCTCCTACTTTCAAGTGAGAACATGCAATATTTGTTTTTCTGTTTCTGCATTAATTTGTTTAGGATAGTGGCCTCCGTCTTCATCCGTGTTGTTGCAGGGGACATGATTTGATTCATTTTTATGGTTGTGTAGTATTCCATGGTGTGTGTGTACTGCATTTTCTTTACCTAGTCTTTTGTTGGTGGGCACCTAGGTTGATTCTGTGTCTTTGTTGTGCACAGTGCTGCAGTACACATACAAATGCGTGTATCTTTTGAGTAAAATGATTTTTTTTCCTCTGGGTACATACCTAGGATTGCTGGGTCAAATTGTAATTCTATTTTTAGTTCTTTGGGAAATCTTCAAACAGCTTTCCACAGGAGCTGAACTAATTTACATTCTCACCAACAGTGAGCATTCCCTTTTCTCCACAACCTTGCCAGCATCTCTTTTTTTTTTTTTTTTTGAGTTTTCAGTAATGATATAATATGGTATCTTATTGTGGTTTTGATTTGCATTTCTCCAATGATCAGTGATGTTGAGCATTTTCTCAGACGTTTGTTGGCTGCTTGTATGTCTTCTTTTGAGTAGTGTCTGTTCATGTCGTTTGCCCAGTTTTTAATGGGGCTATTTGTTTGTTTCTTGTTGATTTAAGTTCCTTATAGATACTGGGTATTAGTCCTTTATTGGATGCGTAGTTCACACATATATTCTCCTGTTCTGTAGGATGTATCTTTACTTTGTTGATAGTTTCTTTGGCTGTTCAGAAGCTCTGTAGTTTGTTTAAGTCCCACTTGTGAATTTTTGTTTTTGTCACTTTCACTTTTGAGAACATAGAAAATTCTTTGCCAAAGCCCATGTCCAGAAGAGTATTTCCAAGGTTTTCTTCTAGGATTTTTATAATTTGAGGTCGTACTTTTAAGTGTTTAATCCATTTGGAGTTAATGTTTGTATATTGTGAGAGATAGGAGTTCAGTTTCATTTTTCTGCACATGGTTAGCCAGTTTTCTTAGCACCGTTTATTGAATGGTCTTTCTACATTGTTTATTTTTGTCAACTTTGTCAAAGATCAGTTGGTTGTATGTATGTGGCTTTATTTCTGGGTTCTCTGTTCTGTTCCATTGGTCTGTGGGTTATTTTGTTTATTTTTACCTGTATCGTGCTGTTTTGGTTATTGTAGCCTTGTAGTTTTATGGGAGCTTTTGTTTGGTTTGGTTTAATTTTGAGACAGGTTTTCACTCTGTCGCCCAGGCTGGAGTGTGCAGTGGCACGATCTTGGCTCACTACAGCCTACGCCTCAGGAGCTCAAGCAATTCTCCTGCCTCAGCTTCCCAAGTGGCTGAAACTACAGGTGCATGACACCATGTCCGGCTAATTTTTGTATTTTTTGTAGAAATGAGGTCTCACCGTATTGCCCAGGCTGGTCTCTAACACCTGAACTCAAGCAATCCACCCAACTCAGCCTCCCAAAGTGCTAGGATTACAGACATGAGCCACCATGCCCAAGCTGTAGTATAGTTTGAAATTGGGTAATGTGATGCCTCTGACTTTGTTCTTTTTGCTTAGAATTGCTTTGACGCTTCAGGCTCCTTTTTGGTTCCATGTGAATTTTGGAATAGTTTTTTCTGAATCTGTGAAGAATGATGTTGGGAATTTTATAGGAATAGCATTGAATCTGTAGATTGCTTTAGACAGTATGGACGTTTTAACAATATTGATTCTTCCATGAGCATGGGATGTTTTTCCATTTGTGTCATCTATGATTTCTTTCAGCAGTGTTTTTTAGTTCTTCTTGTAGAGATCTTTCACCTCCTTACATATATTTCTAAGTATTTTATTTTTTGTGTGGCTGTTGTGAATAGGATTGCATTCTTGAGTTGGCGCTCAGCTTGAACATTATTGGTGTATAGAAATGCTACTGATTTTTGTAAATTGATGTTGTGTCTTTACCAAAAACACATTTTTCTTTATATACTATGTATATAGAATTGTTTCTCTTATATCTAGTAATTTTAATAATATATATTAACTATTTTAACTCTTAGTAACCCTAATTTCAAGTGAAAACCCTAAGATTACTTAATATAACATGACTTTAAGATTTAAAATTACAGAAGAGAATTTTGAAACTAGTTTTATTTAACAAGGATTACTGAAGTTGTGTGAACTAGAAGGCATTTGAGCCAAGTTCTATTTTTTTTAATAAAATAATTGATTTAAGCACTTTTCTTTGGTCAGTTGATTAGAGCGCTTTCATATATTTTGATAGTGATATATCACATACACATGACACATATATAGACATACAAACACACAGAAACAGATCTTCTAGATTTATAAGATTCTTCATTTGCCAGTTTTCACTCTCTCCCCCTCGTAGACTATCTATCATTTCCAAAGTCATAACAAAGTAGATGAAACAAGGTAGAAAATTTACATCTCAAAGGCACAAAACCTAAACCTAAACACCATTACCTGAAAACAAGATTGCCAGAAGGAGGTTGCAGTGAGCCAAGATCTTGCCACTGCACTCTAGCCTGGGCAAGAGTGAGACTTTGTCTCAAAAAAAAAAAAAAAAAAGATGTCGTCTTTTCAACTTGTTTCCTTATTAGATTACTGGTTTCAAGGAGGGGAGCCCTTTAAGGAACAGGGCCAAGAAAGCATGCAGCTTTAGAGCCTAATACTTACTGGAAGGCAGATTTTAGATCACCCCAAATCACTGAATCCTGGGTCCCCAGAAAGCCTTAGAGATCAGGTAATACAATACAGAAAAGAGCAGTTTTAGATCTGAGAGGAATCTGTCTGCTTACAACTCTTGGTATTCTGTGAGGAAAAACAGAGATTCTTCCCAAAAAGAGGAGTATTTGATGCCTTTATTGTTTACCTCAAGGGATCACAAGCTGCCAGAAATTCCATCAGGTCCCTAATATGGTATGGAGGGTGGCAAGAGGAAGGAGGGCTAGCCAAACAGAACTCAGTTGACTGAGACATTTTACAGGGCCATTACAGCGGCATTAAAACAATAGACATATGTTTGTATATGTATAGCCCAAATAGCAGTTTTAACTGAGCCAACATTTGAATATAGAGCTCTTTTTCAAAAAAATATTTTTCCTAATTGTAATTCCTACTCAAGCTGTTTTACTTTTGCTTCTGCTGCTAGCTGGGCTCCTGTTGACAAACAAGCAGCCCACAAAAGTGGCCGTCTTGCTGCAGTGGCTGCCAGCTGCCCTTCATGACCACAGTGCGACGGATGGCTCTCAGCCAACAATCACTCCAAATACACTGGCGTTTTCAGGGCATCCTTGTACTCACACACAGGCGTCTAAAACGTGAGCCACACCACTCTACGTGGAAGTGGCTGCCACCTGGGATTTCCCCCACGGATGCTTCCTTCCCTTTGCCCATTTCTTGGTCCCTCAACTCCTGGCTAGCTCACCACATGTTCCAGCTTAAATGTTTCCAGAAAGAAACATTTAATGGGGACTTAGGAACAGAAGCCATGTCTGTGTCTTGGGTGGCAGTGAGATGGTGGGTCCCTGCCCACATTGGTTTTAAAGCCAAGTAGGTGTGTACATGCCTTTAAGCAAGCCACTGCCCTTTCCTGGTCCGTAGTAGCCTTTTTTGATAGACTGGGGAGAACTAGGTAGCCTTAAGGACCCACAGAGCTAGGCCGGGCGCGGTGGCTCAAGCCTGTAATCCCTGCACTTTGGGAGGCCGAGACGGGCGGATCACGAGGTCAGGAGATCGAGACCATCCTGGCTAACATGGTGAAACCCCGTCTCTACTAAAAAATACAAAAAACTAGCCGGGCGCGGTGGCGGGCGCCTGTAGTCCCGGATACTCGGGAGGCTGAGGCAGGAGAATGGCGTGAACCCGGGAGCGGAGCTTGCAGTGAGCTGAGATCCGGCCACTGCACTCCACCCTGGGCGACAGAGCGAGACTCCATCTCAAAAAAAAAAAAAAAAAAGGACCCACAGAGCTCTTAGAATTCTGAGATTTTCCTCACCTCCATTTCTCTAGCCCATCATCCCCTGTATACCTGGAGACAGGTGTGAAAGTCAGTACCTTGAGTTTAATGATTAGCCACCTGTAATATTAGTTAGGTTAAAATAAGGCTTTGTGGTTTGCTGCATATATGAATATGGTACAGACTGAGCATCCCTAATCCAAAAATTCAAAATCTGAAATTTGGTCCAAAATCTGAAATTTTTTGAGCTCCGACATGATGATATAAGTGGAAACTTCCACACATGACCTCATGTGACGGGTGCACAAAATTATTTAAACTATTGTATAAAACTACTTTCCGGCTGTGTCTGTAAAGTATGTATGAAACATAAATGAATTTTATGTTCCATCCCTAAGATATCTCATTATGTATATGTAAATATTCCAAAATCTGGGAAAATCTGCAATCCACAACACCCTAGTATCAAGCCTTTCGGATAAAGGATACTCAGCGTGTTTGTATAAAACACTTCATTCCATCTGAATACTTTGGGTCATTGCAGTGCGAATTCGAAAGAAGAAAACCAGATGGAACAACAACATTGGGACTTCTCCATCCTGTGGATCCCATTGTAGGAGGTAGGATCAGAGTAAAACTGTGCATGAACTTGATGCTGTTTGGCAGAGAACAGTAACCTGGGTTAACATTTTAAAGCAACAAGCTTGAATATTGATCAGTCTGACTGTGTCATTATGCAGAGGATCTAGCTAGACGTCATGTATTTCATGGTAATAGCTAGCCTAACTTTCACTTCATCTTAGAATAGGTACATTATATCAAGTTTTCCTTAAAATTCAAAGTTTTGAAATATTTTAAACCCACCATTAACAAAGCCATAATTTAGATAGTAATTCCTAGCCCTGATTTTAAGAGACTTTAGTATAGACACTCAGTTTAGAGGTATCTCATACCCACAGATTATGATATTATAAATTTAACTGATCTCTTTATTTCAGTGAATAAATGAATGTATATGCCACATAGTGCCTTAATAATAATGGAGGGTGTATGCTTAGTGACATCGTATCTTTCACTGAAGTCAGTAGAAAGTTTGTAAAGATTGGGAATCTTTAGAGCCTCAGTCATATTTTTGTTTTCTCAAATGATGTTTTAATGGAAATAATATAGGTTATATTTTGAAATTCGATGTCAGAATTAGAACTTTTTGTCACTGGTCTGAGGGGAGAATCATGTATTGAGATATGCAAATGTGACAGTGTTAATTTAGTCAACAAATATTTATTTTCATACTGTCATAATGAGAGAAGTAATTGGAAATACGAAAATGAATAATGACAGAATTTTTACCCTTAAGGAAACAGTCTCTGATGTTTATTGTTTGCTATGAGCAGGGTGCTGTCTTAGGAGCTAGCTGTATAGTAGAGAACAAAACAGAGAGAGAGGAGTCTCTTTTCCTTAGGTTCTATGGAGTCGGGGGAGGAGGGCTCATGTAAAAAGAAGTCTGTCCTTAATCAGTACTATGCAGGTATGTGTCTATAATGAATAAATACTACAAAGGAAAAGAACAGCTGTGATCATAATGGAAGATACCGACCTAGTGTTTGGGGGTCAGGGAAGGCGTCCTTAAGGAGATGATGTTTAGGTTGAGTAAGGGATGAGAGAACAGCAGGTGTGAAAATCTTGAAGCAGGGAATAGCATTTGAAGATGGAAAGAAGGGGACCATGAATGTTCTCTAAAGGAGGAGAACAGTAATAGAAGAAAAGGAGCTAGTGCTGTTTTCAAAACAAAACTCAGTTTTTACTTTGATGCAAACAAGTAGAATTTTATATGACCATAGGTCAAAGAATGCCACAGGATTGAGAACATTGCTCTTTCTAGTATAGCTGTGGTAAACATTTGGTGTTAGGAGATGCAGCTAACTGATGGAGGTGACCCCTTAAGATCTGCTGCTTTCTGTGAAGCCAGGAGTGTGGTCTCTGCCTTTGGTCTGGTTTCCTGGGTTTCCAGTTTCTGAGACATAATCAAATGTGGCCAAAGCTGATTTCGCTCCCCGTGTGCACAGCTCCCTCTGTAGGCCACTTTCGTGGTTTAAGGTGGAAGACACCCCTGTTCATCTTCTCAGCTTCATCATCTGGTATCCGTACCCATTAGGAAACCAAATTCCAGACTATTCACTGAGAAGGAGAGGAGATCTGATTTAGATGTTCAGTTGGTTAACAGTGCCTTCACCACACTGGTCACTGGTGGCGGTAGCCTCCGTTGCAGGCTGATCATGTGACACAGACTCTTCTTCAGGAGAGCAGATGCCCCTCTGTTAGATACTGTGGGAGACCACATCTTCTCCTGCCAGCATCTTTTGCAGTCCCCTCAGGTGCCTACCCATGATTTCTCTATGTCACGTATTCCCAGCTTCATCACAGGGATTCATTCCTGGCTAATACCTGTTCTCATTGCACTAAAAGTATGCCTTTCATAGATACTCATTTATCCTTCATGTGTTAGTAGCCCTTTTGTCTTTAATGCAGGTGTTTTCCCTCAGTCTTTTACTAACCTTTGTACTGGTTAACTTTCATCTTAACATTAGAAATCCCAGCTTTTAAAAGTTTTCATGGCTTTTGTTTTTAATAAAAGTCTAATTTTTTAAGTCAAGTGTATGTGGTTATAAAGAATTCCAGGAAGCAGGAGAGTGTAATGAACAGGTCTAAGTTTTGGTCCTGGCTATAGCTCTGCCTTTCTGAGCTTTGATTTTCTTATAAAAGTGGGTGTAGTAAGGGCTTCCCAGCCTCCTTCACGGTCATGCAGATGCCATGCAGTGGTGTATGCGGAGTCACTCGGCAGAGGGCCCCGTGGGTCATGGCCATGTAGGCCTCCTTCACTGTGCTCAGTTTTATGTTGTAGAGCCAGGCTACTGCCCTGTGAGACTGGGAATGACAACTGGAAGACTTCAGTCTGGAGTGAATACTTTGCAGGGGTTCAAAGAGGATAAAAGGAACAAAGTCACTCCAGGTGAGGCTCCTGCATAGAAGTCATTTTTTTCTCTTCTCTGTTTTGGGGTATTAGGGAAAGGAAGCACAATTACGCTTTATTCACTAGATGGGTACCAGTATCTTGGTGGTATTTTTGCAACATTAATTAGCTATTTTATTAACTTCAGAAGAGACTGGAAAATTGGGTATTCATATTCAAAATGAGTTTTGTTCTTTATTGTTCCTCTCCTCTCCCTTGTAGGGAAGAATTCACTTGAGTTGTAACTTTACAAGTACCTGTTTGGGAGAAAATATCTTAGATATGCGAACCAGTCAATGAAGTAGTAAAGTTAGGAGAGAATAAATCATCTTTTGGTAAAACAAGAAAATAGATTGACATACAAGTTAAAGAATAGTGTTACAGTATTTGATTTTTTCAACAGTGTTGTATTTGAATTATGGGCCCTACAGTTCTTATGCACCGCATTATGACTCCACATTTGCGAATATCAGCAAGGATGATTCTGATTTAATCTATTCAACCTATGGGGAAGACTCTGATCTTCCAAGCGATTTCAGGTGAGTCTCCAGTTAATATTCTGATTACATTTGTTTAAAAACATTAATGTACATACGTGATTTGTGGGTAGACTGACAAAACTGGCCGAGTAGTAAAAAATGTGCTCAGTAATTTTTTTTAGCTGACAATAATGGATTCATAGTTACTGTTATCCTTTAGTGGAGAGAGAGCATGTCTCCCTGATGGTGGCATCTGCAGTATTTTAATTCTTAAACAAAAATATATTTTTAAAGAGACTACCTCAGCCAGTACTAAAGTTTAGGTACTTGTTACTACTTCAAAATGTTGACATGCCATCTGTTCTCTTATAACATGTTGTGTGTCAGTGAGTTATGGTCCAAACTTGATCAGTTTGGGAGCCCACAGTGCATTTTCCCCGAGAAAGGAGGCAGGATAGGATGGCTCTATTCCATAGGCAACCCACATAAAAGCCTTTTTGACCAATCACATGCCAGGTAGACCATTGCAGTTAAACTCAGCCATTCTTTATTGCATGTTTCTGTGGGAAGATCATCTCTGTGTTCCTGTTTAGGATGCTGAGCAGTTTGGATCCTATCAACACAATGAGATCTGTCCTGACTTAGCAGGATTCTGGCTCAGGACGGGATGCTGAGCTTGGGTTATGGCAGTAGTTTACTGGATATTATTCCTTCTTAGCAGTAGTACCTTGTTAATTTTCATTATGTGTAAGAAATTAACCCTGTAGATTCACCAGTCCCCTGCTTCTCTGATAAAGGGAGAATCTGTTCACTTTCACATTAGTAAGTGTGGTTTGGTGGTGGTGGTTTTCACAGGGTAGGGGTCCATAAGTCTGAAGTTGACTGTGGTTTCAGATCAAGCCATTTAATCTTTTAGACCTCAGCAGCCTGAATGAATTCTTTCTGGATTATGTATCTGTGCATACCACAAATAGGGATTGCACAGGGAAACAATACTGGCAAAGGCCCATGCCCTCTTGTCAAATGATGACAAGTGCTTTGGAGAAAAGTAAAGCAGCAGAGAAGGAGAGAGTAGTGCTGGGGCTGTGAGAGGGGTGCACTTTTAAATCAGTCAGGAAAGTCTGCACAAAAGGGAAAGCTGAGCAAAAACTGAAGGAGGTGAGGAAGCAAGCAAGGCTGCCACCTGAGAGAGCATTCCAGGCAGCGCAGGAGCTATGCAGAGGGCCTGAGTGAGAGCCTTCCCAACACACTTGAGGAACAGCAGGAAGAAGCAGAAGTGTGCAGGCACATGGCCAGGGAGGGCGTTGGTGAGAGTAGGTCCTTATAAGCACTTTGAATTTTATTCTCAGTGAGATGGAAACTACTGGTGGATTGCGAGCAGAAGAGTGACCCAGTCCAGCTTATGATGTTTAAAGGATCACCCTGGCTACTCTTGGAGAATAGACTGTAGAGAGGCAAGGACAGAAGTAGGGAGATGAGAAATGGACCGGGGGAGTAGCAGGTGAGGTTCTGAGAAGGGCTCAGTCATCAGCCAGTAGGATTTCTTTACTGATTGAAATGGGATGTGGGAGAGATGTCGAGGCTGACTCCAGGGTTTGCACACTGAGCTTGGAAGGCTGCAGTTGCTATTTACTGAGAAAGGGGAGACTTTGGAACATGACTTAGTGGGGAAGATCTAGCATTTCAGTTTTGTATGTTTTAAGCTTGAGATGTCTGTTAGACTTCCATGTGGAGCACCAAAGGGTGTGGTCCAAACTGGACATGTGACTTTTGAGAGTTTTTTGATCCCAGATGAAAGTCCTGAGGTGAAGGTGATCACTGTAGACAGGAAGTGAAAGGGCGGGGAGCAGAAGATTCAGGGACTGAGCCTGCACCCCTGTCACTGAGGTCTCATTTTTCTTTGGAACATTTTATTTTTACTGTGTTCTTCATATTAATTCTCTCATGATAATGTTATTGCTAATTTGTAGATACCATGTTGTGTCTAGGCAGAAATTTGATGTCTTGATGTATAACCGAGGGCATCTAATGGGAACAGTTGGCTCTGATAGGAGGATAAAGCCAGTGGAGGTGATTTATGTGAGACTTTCCTCTCTCTTGCAGCATCCATGAGTTTTTGGCCACATGCCAAGATTATCCGTATGTCATGGCAGACAGTCTACTGGATGTTTTAACAAAAGGAGGTCATTCCAGGACCCTACAAGAGATGGAGATGGTAAGAACGCCGCTAACGGAACAGGGTAATTTATTATCGACTCTCAAGCGTTAGTCATTCAGTATAATGAAACCATGGGATTAACCAGTATGACAGCTGAACTCCGTGGCCGTGAAAGACAGCCCAGCCCGGGTGGAGGCCACGGGTGGACAATGAACGGAAAGGAGTAGCTTAGCTACCAGGATCTGTGAGGGCCCGAGCATTATCCTTATCTCATCTTGGGAATGTAGGACTCAGAAATGGGGTTTACAACTCAGAAGTCGGTGTTGTGTCCTCTAACAAAAAAGCAAAGTTTTGCTCACTGGCCTGAAACTAAGTTGGCTAAAATGATAGGGAATGGCTTTTCCTTATGCAGTAATAGCACATCGGGAGGAACCTCAAGTTAAAAAGTAAAAAGCTTCCTCATTGCTATTTTATTAACACTTGTAAGCTATCTCTAGTGCAGCTGCAGATAGTTCGTAATCTGGAATCATTCAGAGTTGTGGCTCAAGGATTAGAACCAGAAAATGTTCCTGCTGATATAGAAGAGAGCTGATCTCCAGAATGTTCCTGTCACAATAGTTAGAGAAACCCTGTGTCTCTTGGAGATCTAACTCTTAATGGTGACTGCGACTGTAGTGCCTGGTACCCTGCTCACAACCGCACATATGGTTGCTGGGTGACCTGTCAGCAGAGCTGAGGTTAGTGCCTCAGTCAGGCTCAACGATGACTGCTGTAAAATATCCGCACTCAGACCGCTTTCATCACACAACCTAAAAAATGAAACTTTACATCACTTAAAAATACACATTTTTTTTTTTACCATATCCTTCTCATCAATTAATCTGAATGAATTAATAATCTAACGAAAATTGAATATTTTTCATTTGGTGAATATGGCAATGTGTTTCAAAATGTTAAGTGTCTTTGTCCTTCAATATAGCAGTTCTTCTCAATTTATTCTAGAAAAAATACAAAAGTTACATATAAGGATACATTGTTCATAATTTTTAGAAATTGGGAATTGGTTAAATAACTGACAACAGAACCTTTCAAAGAAAGATGACATCATTGATTGATGTCCATGATACATCTGTCTCTTGTTCCTGGGTGCGTTATCTGTGCAGAACAAGATTGAGAAGCTTTCACATTCTCTGTAGCATTTGATTATTTTTCAGTAATCCTCTGCTATCTGAGAATATTGCTCTGTTCATGAACAGTAATCCCTAGAACTCCTTCCTGTCTTCTTGTCAGGGATTTTTCTAATAAAAACAGATACCGTTTATTTACGTATTTATAAGTTATTTACCAAATACCTTCTTAAATATGTATGTAGCTTTTGATCAGGCATGGAAATAACATCACCAGTAATAAGTACCCCAGCTCACGGAATCCTCTCAAAATGCTAATAATTGTATTTAGTCATTTTGGTCTGAAAAATTATATTGTAGTAGTCCATATTTGTATTCATTTTCTCTTGCCAAGAAACTTCTGACACTTTTCTCTTTTCCTTGATATTTACCTTCATGTGTTTTCCTAAAAAGCTGTTTTTCTGTATCCTTACAGTCATTGCCTGAAGATGAAGGCCATACTAGGACACTTGACACAGCAAAAGAAATGGAGGTGATTTTATTTTACACTTTACGAGAAATATTTAAATGGAAAATAAGGGGAGTAAGAGAAGTCTTGAGAATGGGAAGGCCTATTGGGTAAGAAGTAAAAGGGTTAGTGAGTAGAGTTGTGAGGGCCTAGCTGAAATGGCAAATCATAAATGCATATCAGTGCCAAGTTACACTATTATACAGTTTCTCCACCACAAGTTTTTAGCCCATATGTAGGCAGAGAAATCAGGTGGATCAATGGAGTTGGAGTTGGAGAGCCACACCATAGTATAAATGGAACCATTCGCTTTTGATTGCTTAATATCTGGGTTGATCTATTCCTAAAAAGCAATGTTGAGGTTATGGAAACTCTGAGTCTTAACGATTCTGAAAATAAAAACTCCACCTTTTTTTTTTTTCTTTGAGACGGAGTCCCGCTCTGTCGCCCAGGCTGGAGTGTAGTGGCGCGATCTTGGCTCACTGCAACCTCTGCCTCCTGGGTTTAAGCAGTTCTCTTGCTTCAGCCTCCTGAGTAGCTGTGATTACAGGTGCCTGCCACCATGCCCAGCTAAATTTTTTTTTTTTTTTTTTTTTTAGTGGAGACAGGGTTTCACTATGTTGGCCAGGCTGGTTTCAAACTCCTAACCGCAGGTGATCCTCCCACCTCGGCCTCCCAAAGTGCTAGGATTACAGGCGTGAGCCACTGCACTGGGCCGGCTCTATCCTTTTTAAGATTTTGTTTCTCTCATGCAATACTGACAGCCTAGTTTGGGGGCCTGGAGAAGACCCAGGAAGTGTGTCAATAAGAATGCAAGTATATGGACTAGACGGACTGAAATAGTCTTTGAATCTCGAAAACACAAGGCATTGTCATCACCAAAAGCTCTTCACAGTTTAAGCAACAATAAGGCTCTCATTACTTCATCTTTAGAATAGTTGCCATACTAAACAAATACAAATTGTATGAGATACACCATTACATTTCACAGAAGTGTGGATTTATTGAATACCTGTTTTTGCCAAGATTTGGGAATAGCATTTTAAAAGGGTGTTCTGGAAATTCATTTTCTGTAAGCATCAAAATTAGGACTCCATAGTAAATAGGTAGAGTAACTTTGCCTGTAAATACACACCATCTTAGTAATTTCTAGTTAGCACTGCTGTGGCTTAGCAAACTCCAGTAATTGCCTGTTTTTCCTTTTGAAGCAGATTACAGAAGTAGAGCCACCAGGGCGTTTGGACTCCAGTACTCAAGACAGGCTCATAGCGCTGAAAGCTGTAACAAATTTTGGCGTTCCAGTTGAAGTTTTTGACTCTGAAGGTGAGTGTCTCCAGAGGGTTTGATTGAAAAACTGCATGATGTAGGCAGTCAAGGTTTCATGTCTTATAAGTACAGATTAATATAGCCATTCACCACAGGAAGATCTTGGCTTACCAAGTTAAATGAATGGGTATAGTGTGTTGATTTCATTTCAAGGGGATTACTCTTTTGAAGGGAGAAGGCTAACCAATAATTAGCAAAGCCCTAGAGCCTAGGAGTCAGTTTATTACACAAGATCAAACACAAGTGTGTCTGTTTTCTTCCGTGTGTTCTTTTTCTTACCACACAGAAGCTGAAATATTCCAGAAGAAACTTGATGAGACCACCAGATTGCTCAGGGAACTCCAGGAAGCCCAGAATGAACGTTTGAGCACCAGACCCCCTCCCAACATGATCTGTCTCTTGGGTCCCTCATACAGAGAAATGCATCTTGGTATGTTTTGCCTCCCGTAAGAGGAGAGTCATGGGATGCTTCAAAGAAAAAACTTCTGAGTACAGTGCTAATGGCACTATAGAGTAATGCTGATGTGAACCCCAGGGACAGTTGTGTTTTGTTTTAGTTTTGTTTTGTGTTTTGCATTTGTACATTTACTGTTCTTTGGGATGCCTCTGTCTAAAGGAACCATGTTTCAGTATCTGGAACTATCTTTGTTTTTCTTGTTAGCTGAACAAGTGACCAGTAATCTTAAAGAACTTGCACAGCAAGTAACTCCAGGTGATATTGTAAGCACGTATGGAGTTCGAAAAGCAATGGGGATTTCCATTCCTTCCGCCGTCATGGAAAACAACTTTGTGGATTTGACAGAAGGTACGTGCCCTATTTTCTCTGGGAAAGTGGAAAGCTGTAGTGACTACAGTCATCCCTCAGTGTCTGCCCGACATTGGTTCCAGGACCCCGGATTTGGTATCTACCCCACAAGGATACCAAAATCTGTAGATGCTCAAGTCCCTAACATAAAATGTATTTGCATATATCCTATGCACAACCTCCAGTATACTTTAAATCATCTCTAGATTACTTATATACTTCATAGAATGTAGTTAATATACTGTATTTTTTTTTTCATTGTATTTTTTTAATTGGATTTTTTCCCCAAGTATTTTTGATTGGCAGTTGGTTGAATCTGCAGACGTGGAACCCGTGGCTAAGAAGGGCCAACTATAAAAGGAACATTAGTCTTCTCCCTTCAAATAACACTTGAAAGGTTTTGTCTGTTTTTAATGTATAAACTATTCTTAGTTTTCCTTTTATCTTGTCTAAAGAATTAATAAAGATTTCCTGTGTGCAGAAGAGCCACAATAATAGCCTGATAATGCGCATAGTGTTCAACCTTGGATGTGGTAAAGAATGGCTCTCAGCAGTTACAGTTCTGGATGGCAGCTTGACCTTCATGTCCCCTTTTTAATTAAAAGGTAAAAACAATGTTGAATTAAGTGATGTCTTTTTCTTTCAGATACTGAAGAACCTAAAAAGACGGATGTTGCTGAGTGTGGACCTGGTGGAAGTTGAGGCTGCCTGGTATTCGATTATATATTATGTACATACTTTTTCATTCTTAACTTAGAAATGCTTTTCAGAAGATATTAAATATTTGTAAATTGTGTTTTTAATTAAACTTTGGAACAGTGAATTTGAATGTTCCAGAGGTTGGACTTGTATTAGGTAATAAAGCTGGACCTAGGACTCATCTTGGTGATGTATACAGAAAGGAGCCCTTTTGAGGAAGGAACGTGCTTGGGGCTGTTACCATACCTGCAGAGCATTCTTTCAAAATAGTGCCTGCCCGTGCTTCTTCCTTATGTCCCACAGACAGGACCATCACTAAGAAACGTTCTTAAAATGGCCCCATCCAGTGATATTTTCCATTATACGAACATACTTGAAATAATTTTACAATTTACTAGTGTGGTTCTGCCCCTGCATACCCAATGGGAATGATGCCCTTGTATGGGTAATTAGGCATCTCCCACCCACCCCCGACAAAAGCACACTGGGAGTTTTATAGCAGGGTCACATGGCTAGTGTTTTTTGTTTTTTTCCATTTTTTAAAGAGTTACTAGTACTATAGCAAAGTAATAAGCCAAATAAGATAAACTAAGTCATCCTTGAATACATCAGGTAGTTACCAGATTACCAAAAGGTGACATTTCTATTTACTGTTTATCTGAAATACAAAGGTCAAGTACCCAAGCAGTTGAACTCTTAAGTAGGAGACCACAAAATGCATGGCCCCCTTTTATCAGCAAGCTGAGATAAATGGTGATTTTTCTGAATCTGTCTAGAACCTGTTATACATAAGGGAAAAAGGATGGAGATAGCCTTGTTCAGTGAACAAATTAAGTTTGAAGGCCCTTATACAATCCTTCTATAAATCACCCAGGCAGGAAGCTATTTGATTTCCATTTTCCTGACTTTGAAAATTAGTATTTAGGAAGAACAAGTAGGGTAAAGGAAAATTAATTCCCCCAAAAGACTCAAAATCTTATGCTAAAAGAGTCAAATTTTCAAGTTGTTTTAGAGACTACTTTTAATCTCTAGTGAGTTCCTGAGGACCAAGAAAATACTTAAATTTAAAATACCTTCGGATATTTGAGTTTTTTAAATTGCTAATTTAATGTATAAAAAGCAGCTAAACACTGGTACTTTATAAAAATGAAACAGCATTTTGAAACAAATGTTACAGATCTATAAATACTCATTATATAGAATAAACCCTAGTTATTTGCATGCACCACCTCAAATCATGTTTCTTTACATTGACCTATTATATACACAGAGTATGCAGTGGTTAATGATCTTCTCTTCTGTTCGGAAATTTCCTCAATAAGGCAGAAAACTTCAGGTATTATTTTCACCAGTTAGGAGAATTTGTGAGGAAGTCCTTGACCCATAGAGAAGGTCACTGTTAGATACTTGTTTCTGTCATAAAACAGAAACCAGTAAAGAAATAATTTGGTAATTTAAAAACAGGTTCATAAAAAGAAAATACCCGCAGGTAATTTTTATGGTCAGTTATATTCTATAACCTGAACACTGAAAACTAAAAACTGACAAACTATTATTATCTGAGCACAGCACAGTGCTTTAATAGGAAATAAAAATGCATGAATGGTAATCAGTTATTTGTTAAACTCCCAACTGGGGTTTCTGTTACTGAAGAAAAAAACAACTTAAATATTGCAAGAGTACAAATAAGCTGACCTCAGAGAGGCCCAGTGCACTGATGTGTTTCCATGTTATATTAGCAACAGAAACCTTCCTGACTTCCCAGGAGAGCCCCCGCTGGGCAGCCCTGGTCACTGCTAGATCTTGCGAGCACAGATTTCAGTATAGTATTCATGTGAAACCAACCCTTCATGTAAAAAGTTGGTGTGTAAAAAAGGCAACTTAAGCGAGGCTAATTGCCCTTACCAGCATTGTTGCCATGAAATTCCTTTATACAGCAAGTTCTTCTGTTCACACTGATTCCAGTTATGTGCAGCACATCAGAGCTGTCACTAGTCCACCCAGCACCTTTGTGCAAATTAGAATACACCTGCCCTTCCTCGGGCTGATAAAGCCACACATGACACAGCACAGGCAAGCAGGCTCAATTTTCGTCCCCTCCACTGCCACCCCCACACTTAGCTGTACTCTAATTTGCAGCCAGGGGGCAACTCATCCCAGGACCCCAACAAGTCCGGTCAGTCACCCAGTCTGCAACCCTGTATAATCTTGTAAAGGCTCCTGTAGGCAAGACTTTCTGTAGAACTTAACGGGGTTCATGGTGACATCTAGCTAAGAATCCCTGCTATATAGGGAAACTGAGTACTTTAGAAATCCTGGCGATGCTCTAGTGATGAGGCCACTGGTTAAGTCTTTTGGTTATGAAGTCCCTTCAGAAAAAGGCACGGGCAGTTTTGTTATTTCTCACCCTGTTACAGTTAGGTTGACTTTCAATTCCTTGGAAAGTTGAAGCACAGTAAGACACATCCCCAAAACCTGGCTTTTTGCATTTGCCTTGACTCGTGCAGTTTCAGAGCAAGAACGGCTCAGCATTTGTGAGGGGGCGGGCTTCCCAGATCCAGGAGCCTGTGCACGCACCCATGCCAAGTAGATCCTTGTAGTTTTGAAGCTCTCCAAAGTTAGCTGTGAAGACTAAAGGAAAGGAGAGATGCACTCACAGGTTGTCCAACTTATCTCTAAACAGACTCCATTCCTTTCCAGTAAGAAAAGTAAGATACAGTTGAAGGACGGCAGGGGAGAACGCAAAGATACGTGAGTGATCAAGGAAGAGCTGAAAGGCCGCACCTTTCTAGGCACCTCTCTCCAGAATGCTTGCCTCACGAGCTGCCTCATTCAAAGGCAAGGCTCCGCTGCTCCCTGCCTTCTTGCTGTGACCACATTCCTCAGGACTCAACCCCACAGCCAGCTGACCCCATAAGCTGACACTGGACAGTAGTCCTCCCTACGTGTCAGTGGTTAAACAGGCAGAGCATACACTGGGAGGAAGAGATTTTTGTCTGCTAGCTAAGAAGTCATTCAAAAGGATAAAACCCCCATTAATGTATTCATTTGAAACAAACATACCAGACAAGGCAAAAAGTAACAGTGCTAATTAGGTGTGTTTCTCTACTGTTTGAAACCGTTTACAGATGTAAAACACCCCTTTCAGCTTCATTTACCAGCATGCGGCTGTGAGAAACACTCTCATTGCTGGGCCCACCAGGGAGAGGGAGTCTCCAATCCGTGCCAGACAGCTCAGCTTACTCCCCCTTGGTGTCTAGAAAAACAGACCTCACTTTTGCGTGCCCACAGGCCAATGAGGTGGGCGTCTGTTTTCATCATGTGCTAAAGTCGCCTCCATAGCACCTCAGGGAACAAAGATCTCAAAGTCAGCCCTGAACCAGTGAACATTCTCCAGCTTGCCTGGAAACTGTTACAGACCGGGCACAGAGGTTCTGGCCTCCCCTGCGCACAATGGCTCAGTGGCTGCTTCGAGCCAGAATCTGGTGCTGCATGTGTCTGAGAAATCCTTCAGTGGGGGTCCAAAGAAGCCAACATGCACAGCCCTCTGCCAGGAGGTGGCCACACCCTCTGCATGCCTCTGGGATTGGCGTGGGGTGGAGTCTTCTCCTGGGCTTGCTTCAGGGAAGGAGATTGGCTTCCCAGCCTTTTCAGAACCCAGCAGGAGCCCTCAGTTCAGCCCCAGCCCCTGAAACTTGGCAGTGTCCGTACAGACAAAGTAAGTTCTCAGCTCGCCTTTGCCTTTGACATTGATCAGGCCACGGCATTCGCAAGAGTACCCGAGGCTCTGGAGGATGGTGCAGGTCTCCTCGGTAACCTGAAAAGGAAGACCTGTGTCTTCAGAGGCGGGAAGAACACCTGTCATGGTAGGGACAGATAGAGACCGCCCAGGCACGCAGTCTGCCTTCCCGGGAGAGTGTGATAGCTAGAACCCTAGAACCATGGCTGCTGGTTGAGACAGCAGCTCTTAAGCCCAAGTCCTCTCACTTCTGGGGAAGATCCTTTCCCCTCAGTTACCTGCTTCCCCGATGGGTCTTTACCTGGATTTTCCCAAGTTCTCCGGTGCTCTCCATTCGGCTGGCCACGTTGACTGTGTTTCCCCAGATGTCATACTGAGGTTTTCGGGCCCCAATCACTCCAGCAATCACAGGCCCATGGTTTATGCCTAAAGATGATGTTTACAGTTAGCCAAGCATGCAGGCAAAGCCTCAGGCTTCTGTCCTTAGGGGAGGCCTGAGAATCCATACCCCAGTACAGGATGCGGGGACAAAACAACTAGAGTGAAGGCTGGCTTGTTTCTCAGAGTCACCATGATGCAGTCGGGCTTAGGGTGTGAGGAGGGCATTCCCCGGCCAGCTCTTTTTCAGATTCAGAAGCCAGAAGTCTGGGTTTGATGTTAACACTTGTATCTGCTACTCTCCGTTTTAACAAAGGCCTGGCTTTGAGCGCAGGCCCACAACTATTTAGCTTTAGTAACTTTGCTTCCTTCTCTGTATTTTAAGGTTACCTGTTTACAGTCAATAATTTTGGTTCTCCGTTTTTTGTAGTTACATATTATTAAAACTCTCAATGGTAACTATATGCTAACTATATGCTTATGCAAAACGTCAGAATAATTGTCCAACTGCTGAGCTTGTCAGATCAGAGGGATTCTCAAACCTTTCATAATAGATGGCGAGGTGCAGCTGTGCTGCACAGACTGGGTGGGCTGGCCTAGAGGCAGGGGCTCCCCACGCCCCTACCGCCCGGGCTCACCGACGCGGAGGCGGAAGGAGTTGAAGGAGTGCCTGTTGATGCCGTCCAGCTTGCTCATCAGGGCGATGCTGAACTCCACCATGACGCCAATGTGGGCGTGCTGCCGCTCCAGCTCCTGTGGGACAGGCTGCGGGTCAGATCCTTGCGTCTCCAGAGCCCCCAGACATAGTGGGCCTGGCGCGCCACTCTTGTTGAGGATCCCCACCACTAAAATCCTGGCAGAGCCCTACAAGCACCTGGGCCCCTCCCCCTCCCCCAGGACAGGATATGGACACACCCTTTAGGTAAGGTGACAGGTCACCTTTAAGTGAGGGCAGTCGGCTGAATTATCCCTCTTGGGCTTGAGTACCTGGTTCTCGTGCCCTGAGGCGACACTGAGCCCTGCAGCTGCCATGTATGTGCTGCCGATGGTCTTGATCTTCTCCACGCCGCTGAACTTGGGCTTCAGCAGGAGCTGCAGGTGAGAAGGAAGCGGTGAAGCAGCCGCCACTCCACAGCCACAGCCAGGCTGCCCCCACTCCTCAGGAAGGGTGTGGGGTTCCCTCCACCCATCGCCACCTCTCGTACACACGTCTCACGCTGCCTTGCCAGCTGAGCGCATGACTAAGCATGGTGAGGACATGGCCCTTGGCGGCTCCTGCTCTTCCTGTCGTCTCCGTCCCCACACTGTCTCCCTCTTCCCTTCCATCTGTGTCTGCACAGAGCAAACACGGCATTATCTACACAGGAATGTAGATTCTTTGTCTCCAGCAAATAATTCAACCCAAACTGATTTCCTCTGAATCGGCTTGGTTGGTAGCGTGGGCTTAGTTGGAAATGAAGCTATTCTAAAGGGCCTGAGTCTAATCTTAGCTAGCTGCCCGTCACAGAGAAGATGCCAACGAAATATTTGCTGCATAAAACAGAATGAAAAAGAAATGTGTACCTTCATATTCTGTGTAATGTATATTCCCCCCAGGGGGGCCATGGTGCTTTTTTTTTTTGAGACAGAGTTGTGAACTGTTGCCCAGGCTGGAGTGGAGTGGCGTGATCCCAGCTCACTGCAACCTCCGCCTCCCGGGTTCAAGTGATTTTCCTGCCTCAGCCTCCCAAGTAGCTGGGATTATAGGCACGTGCACTACCAAGCCCAGCTAATTTTTTGTATTTTCAGTAGAGATAGGGTTTCACCATGTTGGCCAGGCTGGTCTCGAAGTCCTGGCCTCAAGTGTTCCACCCACCTCAGCCTCCCAAAGTGCTGGGATTATAGACCACCTTGCCCAGCCCTGTGTCACATTTTTAAATTGGGTTTTAGAATGGCAGGTGCCGCCACCCTTCCCTCCCCAGCATGGGTTGGGACTGCTGCACAGGGCTGGGCTAGAGGCTGTACCTCGTCGAAGTCGGCAATGATCTCATTGAGCAGGCGCAGGCACTCCAGCCCTTCTTTGTTGACATCGCACTCTGTGTAGAACACTTTGAAGTCCGGCACGGAGGCAAACATGACACAGACGCAGTCATAGGACTGATGGTACCAGTCCTGGATGGGAAGAAACCGGACCTTACGCCACTTCACCTCTTGAGGGGATGGGAAGAGTGGCAAGGCCTCGGGAGCAGATGGCACTGAACTGCCCAGCCCAGCTTTCGGGGGGTTGGGAGGAAGGTGGGCTGTATGAGGTTCATCTGGCAGCTGTTACCAGGTGATTAAGAATCGGGTGGCCAGGGAGGGTCAGGCTCAGGTTGGTTTTTTGCTCACAGAAGCACCATGGGTGTTTCCGTTACACATGGGGTAAGAACCTCTGCAGTAGTGGAGGGTAACAGTTGGAGGTCTTCGTTCTCACTGGGCCTCCGTTTCCTATCTAGAAAACTTGCTACACAGAACTGGTAGAAGTACAGACATTTTCATCAACACAGAATGTCCAGATCACAAACCGCTGAACACACATTTCGTCCTCGCCACAAGCCTGTGGGGAAGTGCTGTCAGCCCATTTTACAGAGGTGAAAACCAAGGCCCAGGAAAGCAAGGTGCCTTGTCCACAACCACACTTGAGCCCAGGTCCTTGACCCCAGACCTGTTCTCTCACAGCTGATCCCATACATTGTTGCCTGGGCATCCCGGTGAGGCCAAGACCTGAGGAAGCCAAGCTCGGTGTGCACTCCAACTCCACACCTTCACCCTATGGACTGCGCCTGGACCCTCCGCCTCCCTGCCTCCGCCCCAGCCCCTTCTCAGCACACCTCGTTTAACTTGTCACCGATAAAGTGGGCGGCCACGTGGGCTGGCAGGACGTTCTCCAGAAGAAGGCGGTTCACGTTCTCCATGGTCTCAAACTCCTCGTGCTCCTTCTTGAACTTCTTCTTCCATAGACAGTCCAGGCGGCAGTAATAGTCAATCTGCAAACGGCACGAACATAAGTGCCCTGTCCGCAGGCGAGCAGGGGCCATGCTGCTGTGCATCTCCTAGCCGGGTCTGTCTGTCCCTGGTGTCCTTGGAGCCTCTGGCCAGGGGACCAGTGCTTTCCTGGCAGGACTCTGGTCTTTGCTGCTGCTCCACACGAGCCCACCCCACCCCATCTCCAGATGGAGGTGAGGAAAAGCAGGCAGAGCTTGGGTGGGGGGACCAGCCTCCATACCTGTCTGGAGAGCGTGAGCAGGGTGATGTAGAACAGGACCAGGTAGAAATTGGTCATGGTCTTCAGGTCTCTCCAGGAACAGCTAGGGGTGCCGCTGGATATGAAGGGAGGCCCAAGTCACTCCCAGCACTCACCACCCCAACCCATCGAGTCATGCTCTCCAGGTGCCACGCACACCCAGGGGAAAGGGGGAAATGGATTCTAACGGGGTGGGTGGAAAACTAGACAACTCTGGGGTATTGATAAAGGGAGGGGCAAGGTGGGCAGGGAGGTGGGGGAGCCCTCATGGGAAAGACCTCTGATCTCACCCCTGAATGACCAGAATCAGCCGTGATGAGGGCCTGAAGGGAGCCCAGAGCTCCTGGTGAGCCAGGGTCAGTGGCAGGCGGGGTGGGGTGGATGGGTGGCATAAGGATTTTGCAGGTGCGGGGCAGACCCACAGGAGCAGATTCTGTTCTGGGTCCCAGGCTTCCAGCTTTTTTGTTTAGGGGGACCAGGTCCACTCCTTAATCCACTTGGGACCCAGAACCCCTAGAACCACACACCCCAGCCCTGCCAGCGCCTCAGGTATCACCACCTGTCTAGGAAGAGACGGAAGCAACTGCTCCTTCCAGAACTCGAGACCCAGGACATGGCCCTGAGAGGCGCAGAGCTAGAGCTGCAGCCACCTTCCCTCCCCACCACTAGACTGGCTTGGAAACAGGGTGACCTGGTGGCCTCTGTCAGACCAGAGACTCCTAAAGAACCTGCCGGCGAATCGAATTCCTCGGCTCTGAGCGCTGGAGACCTGGGACCTGGGCAAGCGTCAGTCCCAACTGTGAGATGAAAGCCAGGCCATCTGCCAGCCCCACCCTGCAAGGTGCCCACTCCCTATGAACACAGAAGCCCCTTGGTGTGAGCAGGCACCAGGTGAACAGGCCACCGTGGGGACGGGGATGGGCAGGGCCCCACCTGGTGGTACCATTGGGCTCGGTGAGGTTGCCCAGGCCTTGGCCGCAGCAGTCCCACTGCCAGCATGGGGAGAGGTTGAAGAGCACCAGGTAGGCCACCAGGGCCACTGTCAGCAGCACAACCTTTGGTTCCAGGCTCATCCTCAGGAAGACGGAGCAGGCGATGAAGCCCAGGACACAGCTGCAGGTATAGTACTGAGGGGTGGGGTGTCACTCAGGACAGAGCCACCCCACCACCTACTCTCGCCTCAGGCCCAGCACATACCCCAGAGCTCCACTCCCAGCACCTCAGCATCACCGTCTTGCCTTACCACCTCCCTTCTCAACAAAAAACAATGAGACCTAAGAGTGTCCATTGTTCTGTTGTTTTTACTGTAGTTTTATTTCTTATGAAGTGTGCTCATTTAAAGGGGAGAAAACATAGTATGCAGATGCTCTGGATATGACAGACCACGGTCAAGGTCAAGGCCGGAGCATGCATGCATCCAAGTTGCCTCCCTGAGTTTTTGTGAGCTTACCCTTCCAAAGGACCTCTGCCCTGCTCAAGATTGTGCTGTGGCTCCCCAGCCCCCAGAATAAAGACCACGCTCTTCACCCTGGCATTCTTGCACCTCCCAATCTGGATCAAGCCTGCCCCTGGCTCAATATCCCAGTTCTTCCCACTCCCTCCCCACGAGACAACCCACCCAAAACCCCACTGCTCCCAACACACGCCTCGGCTTTTTCCCCACACCATCCCCTGTCCCAGAACCTTTCTGCTCTTTAGAGCACTGCCACCCTCTGAAGCTGCAGAGTCTGCTGTCTGCAAGGGCCTCCAGGCAGAGACCTTGACCTCTGCCATCAGCCTGCCTGAGCCTGCCCTGGCACCACCACCTAATGAAACCCCTCCCTGAGCTGCGAATACTCGTGTATAAAACAGCGGCAGGCCTGTCAGAGAGGAAGTACCCTGACCCGGAGATCCCCACAAGACCAGATGCTCCCTTCACTCCCTGCCCACCCACACAGCCTAGACCAAGCCTGCCAAGGCCAGGACTCCTCACTCCCTTGGGCCAGAGTCCAGCTGGGCCCACGGGGCCCTGCTTTCCCAGCTCTGCAGGAGAGGCTGGTCTCAGCCTCCACGTGCTGTGCTCTCAGGGGTCAGCACCCATGCTTTGAGGGTCCGAACTGCACCCCCGGCGGCAACAGCCCCACTCTGAGTGAGGCCACGGAGCCGGGCCCAATGCACTCACCGGGAGGGGCTCGCACAGGGCTCTAGTCTTGCTGCTCGCAGCTGGTAGGCCTGTCTCATTGCCAACAGGCAGCTCTGGGACTGGGAAAGGCATCAGGGGCTGCAGAGGAGACGGGTCCCCATCAGAGTTAGTCCAGGGACAGGAACACTGGAACCTGCCCAGGCCATGCAAGGCGGGCCCCAGGCAATCATGAGTGTCACAGCAGCCTGAGGTTTCACGTTGGGCTCAGCTCTGAGCATGGCTCAAGCCACCGTGCCGACACCCCACAGCAGCCATCGGGTTCACAGGGCAGAGGGGCTAGGAGATGAGGGCACAGTCACCCCCAGAAGAGCAGCGGCCAGGGGGTGGGGCCGGGACCAACATTTTCAACCTTCTCCCCAGTGACCCTGAGGGAGGTGGTCACAGTAACACATTCCAAAAACCCAGGGTCCAGGGCAGAGAAGTGAGAGACGCCCTAACCTGGGATGCGGGGTCCAAGAGGCGGGTAGACAAGTGTCCCACAGGCTGCTTTCTGCAGCACTGAGCCTCTGAGCACCAGCAGAGGAGCAAGGGTTCACCCCCGAGAGGAGAAACTGAGTCTCAGAAGGGCCGTGAAGAATGAATGGGGTGTCAGGATGTGGTGGCTCAAAGCATCCCATCCTCCTGGGGCTGGCCACACAAGCTCTCTGGGGCCCCAGAGTCCTCATTTGAAAACCCAAAGGTGAGGAGCCCTGAGTCTGCAAAGAGGAACCCCCAACGGCCACCTGCTGAGCTTGGGGGAGAGGTCAACCAGAGGCAGCTTTTAAGGCCACACTGTAGGCATCCCAAATCTGGAGGTCTCCCTCTACCCAGGAGGCCTGCCTCCCCACCCCAGGACCCACCAGGTTGACGATAGCCACAGTGAGCAGGCTGCCGATGGTCAG